GGAGAGATTAATTCTGCATGGGAGAAATGGAGAAGGAGCCAAAGAGAAGGTGATATCTGAGGACTTCTAGGTTGAGAAAGTTGTAGAATGTATTTCAGGAAACAGAATTCATTTCCAAAGCTACAGAAGCAGCTGAATACATGACATATGTGATAGACTATGAATTCCTTGAACAGCAACCAGTTCCTGGGTAACAGGGATACTGATGAGAAGGGTAGATGGAGCCTACATTTTAGGACTTGGTGTGATACACTGAGAGGGAGCCACATGTGTGTAAGCATGTGTGTCAACCCTGAATTAACCCATAAATCATGTTAGGTCACTTCTAAGAGCTTGAGTTTTAAGCTGAGGGCCCTCAATGCTCATTAAAAGATTATAATGACAGGGGGAGGTGATCAAATATGAGTTTAGAAAGGTCTCTCTGTCCATACAGTATATGGACAACAGTGGAGGCAGATGGAAGCCCAAGGATGAGACTAAAATGATCTCTGATGGACAATGGATTGCAGGAGGCAAGTGAGGAGGGGAGTGAGGCAAGACAGGGGAGTGTGGAAGCCACTTAACCCTCACTTGTCACCTCTATCTCTCACCTCCCTATCCTCCTTCACCTTTCTTCCCTTCTAGCTCCTGCCCCTCCACCTTTTCATTCCCTTTCCTTCCTCTCCCCAGTCATAATTTTCTTCTTTTTGTTCCTTTGTCTATTTTATTTCTCTTATTTCAGTATCTTCCTGTGTCTCCTGCTCTTGTATTCAGTAACATTTTATAAATTCTTGGGCTTTTTATTAAAGCTCTTCCAACCTCCTTCATACAATATCCACCACCTGTTTTTAATTAGAGAATCTCTCTCCACTTTCTTGTGTCTCAGCACACATACCACATATGTCCTGGCCCCTGTCCAGTAAGGGGCCACCTACACCAGGGAGAGGGGACACTGCCTATAGCTGTTCACACACCCAGAGTCAACACCACATACTTTTTGAGTATTGACTATCACAAAGCATGAGCACTGCAGGGAAAAAATAAATTGTGAATCAAGACATAATGTCAGTAGCATGTTATGGTTGAATTGAGGAGGAAAACCCTAGAAACAAAAAGTTCATTAACATTTTGATATGTTAGCTGTTACATGAGAAATGATTGGTACAAACTATTAGAGTCTTGGGAGAAGGCAAGAGATCTTTACAGTGGGACACTACACAGAGGAGAGTGATTACCATGTAATATTCCTGGTACTATTTAAGGAACCTATGTGTTATCTTATTTAATACCCTAGACATTACATACAGACAACATTTTTGCTGTGGAAACTGAGACAGAGAACTTGAATAACTTACTCTGGGTCAGATCTCAAGAATAAGAAGCTCTGGAATTTGACTACGAGTCTGTTGGACTCCAAGCATCTTCTCATCACTGTACTACACAGTATGTTTAAAAAGCAGTCTATATGTGTCTCTGGATATCTTTTTGATATAGCATGAATATATATTTCAGCACCAACTTGTACATGCTCCAAAGGCAAGCCCATTTAATCAGTGCCTGGAATTATGATCTGCACAAAAGTGTCCATCATCTAGAACTGGAGCTCAATTTGAGCCCCTGAGCACTAATACATCTCTGTCTGTGGTGTGTTTTCTTCACGTGTATGGAGAAGGCACCATGGAATCAGGGAACCTCACATGTGTATCAGAATTTGTCTTCCTGGGGCTCTCGCAGACTCAGGAGCTCCAGTTCATCTTGTTTCTGGTGTTCCTGTTTGTCTACACAACCACTGTCATGGGGAACCTCCTCATCATGGTCACAGTGACCTCTGATTCCAGGCTCCACACACCCATGTATTTTCTGCTGCGAAACCTGGCCGTCATAGACCTGTGTTTCTCCTCAGTCACTGCCCCGAAGATGCTGG